CAAGGTGAACTTCAAGCCCACAATCACAGACACACAAGGCCACTGCAGCCTGTACCAGTCAAACTGAGGAAGTAGTGCTTCAGGGGGGTGTCCGGTGTGGTCTGGAATCTGAGACACTGCTCTCTCATGGTCATGATAGATTTGTAACACAAACTTACATTTTAGAATAATGCACTGTAAGTGTACTGTAGGTAATGCTATGTGTTCAATGAAACCTGTAGGAAATTGCGCAGTCCAGTTTTTTGTTTTTAAGAACTTGATTTATAGATCAATTTCCAGCATATCCTGTGGCAGCCTGTTTTTATTTCGATATGAAGGATGAAGCGCCTGAGGACAAATACTCCAGCAGATAAAAAGCTTAAAATAATCTACAGTTGTAGGCATCTGGGACCATAATTACTACCACATCTTATGTATGTTCACCCTCTATTTTAAGGATGGTATGGTCTTACTAAAGATATTTCATGAACAAATGGACTGGCTTACTATAAACATAGGGGAGTGTTTTCTGAAGGTAATGCTTACAGCTATGAATAGCCTTGAAGCATGGACATGTGGTTCCTGTTGCTTGTATCCCAAGGCTCCTTACTCCGGCAGGGTTTTTCTTGGGTGGTAAGGGGGATTTGGAGTGATGTTTTGTCTGAAAAAGTTTGTTTTGGCTCAAGATTAGCCTTGTTAAGTGGGCTAACCAGGGGTTAGGCTAGTGAGAAGGAGAAGGTTAAGTATACAGACCTGACAACTTCTGAGGAACAGCTACTGCTTAGCTCAGGGTCACAGATTTGTGTTGGAAGACAGGGATAAGGATTAAGCAAGGCTGATGCTGACACAATGAAGGATTTCAAGACTTTTGAATACTGGGAAAACTTGCTGAGACCACCAAAGCATGGTTATTACAATTTGTAAAGATCACAAGACTATACTCAGGTACATGTAGCCTTTTGTATTTGTGTAGGTTATAAAGATATAAGGGTGTAAGTGTAGACAACAGGATGGATAATACTAAGTTACAGTAAGTAGCTAGAAAAGTTGCATTGTTGCAGTGATAGGTTTAGAAACTGGACTGGTGACCTTGCAATTCGCAATTGCCTGTTTTGTTACATACTGATAATGGCACTGGTTGAGCCAAGATCGTAGTACACGTACTGTATTTCCTCGAGAATATTCTGTTGTAGGTATGTTTTGACTTTTAAATCCCTACTCATGGATGCCATCGCTTGTGCTACTTTGCTATGCAAATGGTAGGAAAACAAAGCTGTTTTGCTTTATGGACCTTTTAAAATCAAGGTGATAAAATGTTGTCTGCCTTTCAGCGAGTAATTCGTAACAAATGGGATTCAATTAGGCCCTGTACTTTTAAATCTTTGCTGACATTTTGTAGCATTATGGAACATTTCACACAGAGGAACACGTAAAAAAATTGTGTTTTCCGTGGCGTGAACACAATGCCCCAAACATGCCATAAAGTAGCTTTCATAGGAGCTGTAAGCTGTAACTCGTGAACAGCTGTGGTGGTTGTGTCCTCGCTGTGAGTGAACGACATTAGGCAATTTGCAGGGTGAGGTTACAGTTGGGTCTGCATTGATTCTGTTATGGTAGAAGGACAGCTGAATAGTTTAGCCCGGTGCCAGCTGTTGTAACCACTGCCATAGCAGAATCAAGGACGGCCCTAGAGCAAGGCCATCGCTGTATCAACTTTTGACCGTAAATCCTTATTTGAGTGCAGGGCCAAGTAATGTGTGCTAAATACAAATGTACCTTTTACTGAACATTAGATGATACTAATTACTACATCAAAAATACTATACATGTTCCAAGACTCCAAAAGCAAGTATGGTTTGTGTCCTCCAATCAGAAATTCCACAATATGGAAATAATGAATGTGAAGGACATTTTTTGGGTCATAGGTTCCGAGATTCAAGGGCATAGGTTCAAGATCAGGGTTCCTAGAATAGAAGGATTAAGGCTAAAGCCTAAAGGAAATATCTGTGTTAATTTACCAAGCTGTTGACATTGAATAATTTACTACTTTTATATGTACATGGTGTATATTACTTATTACACTTCATCATAAATATCATAGATGAGTGATTTTATTGTTAGTCTCAATATGTTTCAAAAGTTGTTTTTGTTACCTTTGCTGGTTGGAACATAAAGGAATCGTTCAGTTCTATCTTGAGTCAACATGAATAATTTGTGCCAAATAACTAATGACATAAAAATTACAAGTTAACATGTATATGTGTGAAATCTGTAGGAAACTATAGGAAATAGCTGTCAAATTCACTGGTGGCCAGATTTATGACTCTGGGTCACACAAGGTCAAGATCAGGGTTAACTTGCCAACGCTACTCACCCATTAACACATTATGTTGGCATATACCTGTTATATATTTGCCCTTGGGGGGCTTTTTGTAACTGTATGAACGTAACTTACCAGTGTCAAACTGTGGTAATCTGATAGTTTATTTCTGTGTTGTTTTGAAATCTGTATGTATTTTTAAACACAACATTTAGATTAACTTAAAAATGTAAACAATGACTAGAATAAAAAAAAAAAACAATTTCTAATCATCACAATGCTTCAAAAATAGCATGGATTATACTTATAGACATAACATGTGTGTAAATTAGAGAAGCAGAATAATTAGACTGTTGGTAAGAAGACCAAACCACATTGTGAAGAAGTATCACTGTTTTTAGGTACAATTTTGTATCAATGGAAATGTGCCAACAGCAAGGCTGAAAGCCCTTGTTAAGTCCTCACAACTAATCTGTTAATCCTCTTTGCAACAGTGTAATTCACATCAGATATTGGCCGATCAGTTTGCAAAGGGTGGATAAAGATTGCCATAGGCAAAGTTGAACAAGTGTGTAGAAATAATGTAGTTTATAATTATGTGCTTACAAAGATGAGATAAAGTACTGTACTACTATCAGGAAGTGTCAGGATTTGAGTGAAGGATACAAATAGAAACTCAAGACTCAAAATGAGAATTATTATAGAATCACAGACTATATTACAGTCTAGTTCCTTGGCTTTGTGTTAATGGTTTATCCATGCATGCATCCATAAATACATGTGTACCTGAACATGGGTTGCACCTAAGCTCACGTTCCACCTATTCTATTCTCCCTAAACACTTCACAGGGAGTTTATATATAGATAGAGCAGTGAATGCGTGGAAGAAAAAAGACTGGCAGATTTGCTGGCAGCTGTGAGAGGCTGTTCCCTTGCCTCCCTAGGGGAGCTGCTAATTTTGAAGGTGATTTTGAACATGATCCAAAGGGACCCTGCATGGATCACTGCCAGCCTTGTGTGTTCACACAGCCCAGCTGTACATGTAAAGTACCGGTTCTGTTACATGCTGCACATGTATACACATTTGGCAGTGAGCTTGTTATGCAAAAATCTTTCCTTTTTCAGTTGTTGAACCTTTTTTTCTTGGCAAGGGGCATATGTATTTTGAGCTGTCAGAATGGGCATTGGTATTGCTTCTTGTTTGTTGAAAACAGATCATCAACTCAAGAGGAGGGAAAGGAAACAAAGATGTGATTAATTTTCTTGCCCAGCATTCATAACTTCATATTTATGCTAGAGTTGTTTGAGCTGGAGGGGACTGTACAGTCCCACGGTAAGGATTAAATATCTCCCAATGTACATAACAACAAACAGGTACACTCCAAATTTGTCGTGGATAGGATGCAACTAGAATATCAAAGCCTATATGCAAGTGTATTCATTCATTTCTTTCTTTTGTACCAGATAGATAATATAATATAGAGTACAATTTCAAAAATGTAGATGTGCTATATATTTTTTAACAGACCAATTTGATCTTACTGAGATATCAACGTGCGATAATACTAGGTTCAAAGGATGATAAAACTGTGGCTTTGAATTGATGCTGTATATTATTATGCCTTTTCCTTTCAACCTTCTGTGAGGTTTGACGGGCACATTTTTTGCTTTTCGTTAAGTCTTTGACACTGACAGGACCTAGGCCAAAGGTTTTGATGTTAAATTCCCATTGTAAACCCCCCAGGGAATACTCAGGTGTATTAGATGGGATTTGAAAATAGTAACATCGCCATTTGTCTACAGATGTCCCCGCCCTGTTGTAATATAAGAACAGTCATGACCTAAGCCAATGGCTAAGGCCTGAAACGTAGCATTAGTGCCTGCTGTTACATAACCTGTGCCATATGCCATAGCAGAATGGACAGGTGGAATTAGAAAACACTAACATGCTTTAGGACTGTTCCACTAAGCTGAAGGGTGCCGGGACACTTACGTTTTCTTGTCGGCATCATTTTGATTGCTTGTTTTATATCAAGATATCTTTATGTACCCTTTCATTTTAAAACACATTTTAGCTCCATTGAAAGACCATCAAAAAGCCAGAAACTGACAGGTTAATAGCACAAGCAAGCATTTAGAATTGAACTTAAGTTCTATCCCTACGTAATAACCTAATTTTTTGTGTGAAGTGAGACTGACCTATTGGCCTATGTTTCCCATTACTAAAGCTGTCCATAAGTTATCTGTCCTGTAATGTGATCATTGCGATGCCAGTGTGTTTGTTTGTTTAATAGTTAAAACCACCAACTGATGAATACAAATTTGTCTATGTGTATTGACACCGTGAGTCCTTTATAAATAAAAGAGTATGTCTTAACATGCAGAAAATTACAAGCTGAATGAAATCTTGCGATGAAAATTTCATGTCAATAACCGCCTTGTCCAAAAGTACTACGAACTGCATAAATTGAAATGTCAAATCGTCAGTAATTATCTGTGTGGTGAGAAACTCACTAGTAAGTCATATCTGTCATGTGTATGGTTGTGCAGTGTTGACTAGTGAGTAATGTGTAGTATTTGATTACCTAACATTGCAAACATACATGTATGGAATTGAATTCCTTGTCAGCGCTGAGTGATATGATACAGAAGTTGGTTTATTCTGTGATGTTGACGTCTACACATCTACACGTCTTTACAGGAGTTAGAAGAGGCACTGCTGGCCGATGAAGGCAGCTGCGATGGGGACACGACGCACGTTTTCCTGGCGGACCTGATCGCAAGGTTACTGCGGGGTTGTTACGGAAGGAGAGATATCGGGTAAGTAATTATGGCATTACCATTTGTATCGCAGGGTTCTTCATGTTGCATCAATCATTCAAGAGCTGTTGTGATCCAACAAATCATTTCCTTAGGCTTGAATCTCAAACTGCTGTTTACATTTTAAACATTTTTTTTCCCAAAGATTGCCTTGATGTAATGTTTTTCACCACTCAGTAAATTTTCGCACACAAAATTATCTGGTGATGATATGATGGTAACCTGCTCTGTAGCGTGTTTGAATATGTAAATTGCATGTTGTTATTGTTGCGCATGGCAGCTGCCCTTGCCCTAGTTGCTGAGGTCAGGAGGTGACCTACATAACCCCCTTTCCCACCAACCTGCCATACTGGATTAGGATAATCAGATCTCTCCACTCATTGGTGATGGATAATTGTATTAACATACATGCATATGGATGTTGTATATGCTTTTCTATGTAGTAAACACAACTGTAGGTCAGGTTTCCCCTACTATTAGTAATAGCTAAGAATATATACATGACTCAAATGTAGCTGCTTTAGACTGAGAGATTTGACCAGGTAGGATCATAGGGTCATGGCAGAAGGATTTTTCAATTTTCCTTTTTGTAGGGCAAGTTTTGCATTTGCTACAGTGTATCTACTAACAAAACCGGTACTGTTAATGTTATATATTCTGACAATTGATTTGTCATGTATGTACATCTCACTCTCAGTCTTGAGCATTCTTTGAAAGCTTCTGACAGTTCTATTGATCCTTGTGTTGGAATGCTCACCATGCCTCCCACTGCACAGCACCACTCTTCAGCCCAAAATAAAATTACACCAGAACACAACCCCACAGGTCAAGGACAAAATGTTCAACAGGCATGAGTTGGTGGCATCGAACCAACACTATAGATTCCTATTCAATGCTGCATAGACATTAATGTAATGATGCCTACATGTACATGAATAATGTTACAGTTGGCAGATGGCAACATTGAGATATTTCTATCCCTTTCGTCTGTTTTCTTACATGTGTTTCGAAGAAATACATACAATACTGTTCAAGCCAATAGCCACTTTTGGATATTAGCAGTTTGATGTTGCTAGTTGAAGTGAGTGGGCTTTTTACATGTATAATGTACCAATGTAAGGAAAACAGACCAGATCTGTGGCAGAAAATCATTTGAAATGAAAATCTGTTTCTTTATTTGGTTTCCAGTTCACTCCTGACAACAAAGCAATTAAGACCTGTTTTTGGAATAATGTAAAAAACATCATGCTAACACTTTCACTTTCAGTAAGAAACATGCATTCCCATTTCCTAAGAATTAGCAGTAGGGTGAAAAGATGTATAAAGTGTTTTGTCTGTACAGAACTTACCAAACGCATAGCATATGTTTGAGTGGACACCAGAGAGTTGTGTATAGTCCATATAGTGTTGAGTTTTGGAAGATAGTCTTTCATTAAGGTCACAGGGAGGTCAAAAGGTCGCTGGAGGTCATTTGCAGGGCATGAGTTGAACCAACCTGAAGTAGGCCGCCGATTGGGCCGCCGATTCGTAGCCGCCCTTTCAGCCGCCGATTCCGGACTAAACCGAGCATAGCAGCTGATTCAAATACAGATTCGAAATCCCAAAAATTTCCTAAATCAACCCCAAAGAAAAACACGACTAGGGAATTGTTGCAAATGGTCTAGAATAACGCATAGAATATCAATTCAAAGATAAATAAAATCAAAAAGTACCAATTAAACGATAAAGTGCAAATTAAAGACTTAAAAACGACACCTAGCGACAATATCATAATTTGCTGATGCTGGCCGCCGATTCAAGTGAATGGTCTCCACCCTCAGGTCTTAAACACCTTGCGTGAGATTAACAATATAATTCCATAACTCGTAATGACTTTCCATCATTTTATGATGATCCATGCTTTGGTGTTCTAGTAAGAAAAGTCGCAAGCGACGTTGTACCGTAAACTCGTCTCCACTTATAGGTGTTTAACACCTTGCAACAGAGTAAACATATAATTTTACAACTTACAATGACTTTCAATCCCTTTATAATGATCCATACTTTGATATTCTAGTAAGAAAAGTAACGCACACGACGTCGTTTTGACGTCATGACGTGTTAAATCAACGAAAATGGCGGGAAGTTGCACCGTAACTCGTCTCCACTTATAGGTGTTTAAGTAACAATATAATTTTACAACTTACAATGACATTCCATCCCTTTATAATGATCCATACTTTGATATTCTAGTAAGAAAAGTAACGCACACGTCGTCGTTTTGACGTCATGTCGTCTTAAACTGAATAGAAATGGCGGGAAGTTGTGGCAGTAGCTGGTCTCCACCTGTAGGTGTTTGACACCTTGCGGCAGAGTAACCATATAATTTCAGAACTTGCAATGACATTCAATCCCTTTATGATGATCTATACTTTGATAATCCAGTAAGAAAAGTAACGCACATGACGTCGTTTTGACGTCATGTCGTCTTAAAATAAAGAAAAATAGTGAGAAAATGTACCGTATCTGGTCTCCACCTATAGGTGATTAATACCTTGCAACAAAGTAACCATATAATTTTACAACTTACAATGACTTTCAATCCCTTTATAATGATCCATACTTTGATATTCTAATAAGAAAAGTAACGCACACAACGTCGTTTTGACGTCATGTCGTCTAAAACTGAATAGAAATGGCGGGAAGCTGTACCGTAGCTGGTCTCCACCTGTAGGTGTATGACACCTTGCAGCAGAGTAACCATATAATTTCAGAACTTGCAACGACTTTCAATCCCTTTAGAATGATCTATACTTTGATAATCCAGTAAGAAAAGTAACGCACACGACGTCGTGTTGACGTCATGTCGTCTAAAACTAAACAAAATGGCGGGAATTCGAAGTTGTACAGTAACTGGTCTCCACCTGTAGGTGTTTGACACCTTGCGGCAGAGTAACCATATAATTTTAGAACTTGCAATGACATTCAATCCCTTTATAATGATCCATACTTTGATATTCTAGTAAGACAAGTAACGCACACGACGTTGTTTTGACGTCACGTCGTCTTAAACTGAATAGAAATGGCGGGAAGTTGTGGCAGTAGCTGGTCTACGCCCGCAGGTGTTAAACACCTTGTAGCAGAGTAACTATATAATTTTACAACTTGCAATGACTTTCAATCCCTTTATAATGATTTATACTTTGATATTCTACTCAGAAAAGTAACGCACATGACGTCGTTTTGACGTCATGTCGTCTAAAACTAAAGAAAATGGCGGGAAGTTGTACCGTATCTGGTCTCCACCTGTAGGTGTTTAACACATTGAAACAGAGTAACCATATAATTTTAAAACTTGCAACAACTTTCAATTCTTTATAATGATCCATACTTTGATATTCTATTCAGAAAAGTAACGCACACGACGTCGTGTTGACGACATGTGGACTTAAAGTGAAGAATAACTGCAAATTAACGAGTTGAAAACGACACCTAGCGACAGTATAATAAACTGAAGCTGAAACGAAGCTGGCCGCCGGCGCCGATTCGAGTACGAGTAAAGATGGCGGGAAGTTGTAACAAAACTGGTCTCCGCCCACAGGTGTTTAACACCTTGCAGCAGAATAACCATATAATTTCACAACTTTTAATGGCATTCAATCCCTTCATAATGATCCATACTTTGATATTCTAATAAGAAAAGTAACGCACACGGCGTCGTTTTGACGTCATGACGTGTTAAATCAACAAAAATGGCGGGAAGTTGTAAAGTAACTCGTCTCCACTTATAGGTGTTTGACACCCTGCAGCAAGGTAACAATATGATTTTACAACTAACAATGACATTCAATCCCTTTATAATGATCAATACTTTGATATTCTATTCAGAAAAGTAACGCACACGACGTTGTGTGGACGATATGTCGTCTTAAACTGAATAGAAATGGCGGGAAGTTGTGGCAGTAGCTGGTCTCAGTTCTCAGGTGTTTAACACCTTGCAGCAGAGTAACCATATAATTTTAGAACTTGCAATAATTTTCAATTCATTTACAAGGATCCATACTTTGATATTCTAGGAAGAAAAGTAATACACGCGACGTCGTTTTGACGTCATGTCGTCTAAAACCAAAGAAAATGGCGGGAAGTAGCACCGTAACTCGCCTCCACTTATAGGTGTTTAACACCTTGTAGCAGAATAACCATATAATTTCACAACTTTTAATGGCATTCAATCCCTTTATAATGATCCATACTTTGATATTCTAGTAAGAAAAGTAACACACACGACGTCGTTTTGACGTCATGACGTGTTAAATCAACGAAAATGGCGTGAAGTTGTAAAGTAACTCGTCTCCACTTATAGGTGTTTAACACCCTGCTGCAGGGTAACAATATGATTTTACAACTTACAATGAAATTCAATCCCTTTATAATGATCCATACTTTGATATTCTATTCAGAAAAGTAACGCACACGACGTTGTGTGGACGATATGTCGTCTTAAACTGAAAAGAAATGGCGGGAAGTTGTGGCAGTAGCTGGTCTCAGTTCTCAGGTGTTTAACACCTTGCAGCAGAGTAACCATATAATTTTAGAACTTGCAATAATTTTCAATTCATTTACAAGGATCCATACTTTGATATTCTAGGAAGAAAAGTAACTCGTCTCCACTTATAGGTGTTTAGCACCTTGCAGCAGGGTAACAATATAATTTTACAACTTACAATGACATGCAATCCCTTTATAATGATCCATACTTTGATATTCTAGGAAGAAAAGTAACGCACACGTCGTCGTTTTGACGTCATGTCGTCTAAAAACTAAAGACAATGGCTGGAAGTTGTACCGTAACTCGACTCCACCTGTAGGTGTTTGACACCTTGCAACAGAGTAACCATATAATTTTAAAACTTGCAACGACTTTCAATTCCTTTATAATGATCCATACTTTGATATTCTATTCAGAAAAGTAACGCACACGACTTTATTTTGACGTCATGTCGTCTTAAAACTAAAGTAAATGGCGGGAAGTTGTACCGT